CACTGCAAGGCAAATAAGTGAAGGTTTATGTAAATTATGTACCGTTTTGGAAATGCTCCTCGTTTTGGTATTGCAGCGTTTGTCATTAAGTGATGAGAATTGTAAAGTATATTCAGCATGTGTTTCTACTCCACTGGCAAATTAGACCCTAAGATATTTGACGTAAAAAAATATATTTATTGTGGAGCCCTATGAAATTACACCAGCACACACACACATCGACTCAGGTTTCGAGTTACATGCATGCACACTAATGCAAGTGTAAAAAGTGCACAATGCGTTATAATGCTGTCCGTTATTTATAATTACGTACAGTATGCGCGTTTACAGAAATGATGCGCGTGCTGTTGAATACTAAGATATAAGAGTCATTTACTTGTGCAGTGAAATATCTCTTATATGCCCTCATGTTTCTGTTTTCCTACATCTGTACTGCCCCATCGATCTGTGGACATTCCAAGTACTGGATAAAAAAAAACACCATTCATTCTATAATTCACATTCTTTACAAGATAAGTGGCATGCACCAGAAGTTTCTGCAAATTAATCCTATTATCTGCGCTTACCGAATTGACCCAGAAATACATAATTCATCTTATTAGTGGATATGATACAGTCATCTAAGCTCTCATGAACCTTTATTAAAAAAATACACAGTAATCTCTTTCCAACTGAGAATTTTCCAGCTGCGAGATTTGAGTATACGCGGATTTACTTCTGAAAACCTCTTCTTTGGTTCTTTCGGTAAAGTCACGTAGAATGAGAATAAAATAATAAATTGATGAAATAAAATAACACAATATTCTGAAAACCTGTTTACCAACCGCGGCCTGGAAACGTCAGCATCCACGGGTAAGCACGGTGTTAAGGAAATAATGTGTGTATTACATAACAGCATGACATCATTGTATTGTGTGATGTTATAAAAGACATAATGTGCCAATAAAGTTACTTAATTTTTCTTCCGATTCCGGGAAAGGGTTAATTTTGCCCTTAACCATGGACCCGAAGCGTGCCGTAAATGGTGAAGGCCAGCGTTTGCGTCTGTGGCCGAGGAAGAGCAGGTTTGGCTCAGCTCCTCCCACATCATCTCCTTGTCGTCATCGTGAATATTACAGGTATGTAATGTTATTTATGTTTCATTAGGTTATTGTGTCATGTACTGTATTTTATTCGGTGTTTAGTTAATAAACAGGAAACTTAGTTAAGCTATGACGAGTCTAACCCCCGCGGTTGGCAGGGGATTGCTATATTGACAACAAATTTATAAAAATGGACATTACAATGAGACTGAATATAAACAAAGTAGTATCAGACTAGAAAATAAGTTAAACAAGGAAGTACACTCACGGAGGCTATTCAAGGTAAAACATGAAACGTATGCAAAGCATAGAGATCGATGCATGCTAGGAATAACAGTGACATGGATCAGAGAACAAATGCAAATTGGATCAATCCTGCTGACTTAAGAATAGTTGGCTTTTGCAGGACGTGAAATGGCAGCTAAAGGCGAGGACATAACCAGGAGGACCACTACTGCAGAGATAAAATTACAAGATCGGCTCACGTGTAGGAGCGAGATGGGTTTGGTACATCGCATGATAGCGAAGGATGGTGACGACATGAGGTGGCCTTCTTCCAGCGTTGGATAGAATATGGCTGATAATTATAATAAAAAAAACTATTTTCAACACTTTGTTAATTCACTTCTGAATGAAAGCTTCTTCATGCTATGTTAGTCTTGCGGATTGTTTGACCAAACTTCACCAAGCTGATAAGTGCAGGTTGGAGCCCACTAACAGGTCAGATATGACTCACCATTAATGTGGCCGGGAATCAAATGCAGGTCACCAGGATAACAGTGCATTCCCACTAACCATCTTGCCACCACCGCACCCTTAATCTATGCTTTACTAGAAATAAAAAAAATCTGAAAATAGTAATATTAGAATTTAGGCCCCAAAGAATTACACCCAAATGTTGGTTTCAATCACAGTATAGGGCCACCCTAAAGTTCTACATAGCTTTACATCTCATCCCAAACACAAATACACTTTTTTAAATAAATCAAGTAATTTGCCTCCCATAGGGTGCGATATCTTGTGAGTACAGGCAGACCTCGCTTAGCACTCAAGATGTATTCAAAGAGAAGGGAGCACTAATCAAAACAGCGCTAAAAGGGGTCATTACACATTGTATATACTGTTGTGTCTTTAGTTTGAGCAAAATATGAGGGCTTCATTAGGGTATTGGTAAAAGTGCGAATAATACAAATGGTAAACATTATTTCATACGTAAAAATAATCATTTATGATCAGTAGTATATCCTTTACTCATGAGTGCATTCTACCATACTCCTCCAAGGCATCCATGGGGGAGCTGCTGCACTCCCAATCTGGATCATTCTCAGAGAAAAGCTCCAGGAACTCTGTGATCTTTGTGATGCACTCAGTCTACATTTCTGTGGTGAGGTTTCTTTTAGGTGGAGCCTGAGACTCCATCCTGGTCTTGTGAGGTCTCACCTCCCTCAACAAATCGATTATTTAAAATAGAATGGTGACCACAAATTGTGATAATAGAATCGCAGGGGGTGCGGTTCTGATTGGCTCAGAGCTTAAGTCGCTGTGAATGGCAAAGTGAATGAGGGGGGCGGGAACTTTTTCTCGTCTGGCACTGCTTTGTGTTCTCACTCGTAAGCACTTTGTAGATATTTTGATTTTAAAAAAAAGATGGTAAAAAAATATCCAGGGCAAAGAACGCCGTAATGAATCAGCATTGTACGGGGTCACGCTGAGCGAGGTCTGCCTGTATATATAATATATGCAGTATTCCCTCATTATTCGCGAGGCATACAGATACGTTCCGGCGATCCTTGTGAATAGAAAATTTCGCGAATAAATATATTGGCCTACGAAAATCTATCTTCGCAATGACTTACCTTGAGTAACACGAACATATTCAATTGGTTTTAATAACCATGGTAAATAAACATAAATATTAAAGTTTTAAATAATAGTTTATAAATGAACTCACCTTAAATTATGATGTTGCACATGAGTTTATCTCATCATTTTATCTCATCACTTTCTTTCTCTCTCTCGATGCAGTCAAGTAAAGTTCCAGATGCGATTCGCGAATAGCCAAAATCGCAGATAACAAGTTCGCGAATAACGAGGGAATACTGTATACAGCAAGTATTGAAATGTATATGGGCAATGTAAGCATTGCATCAATTTGTTTTACATTTCAGCATGAAGTTACCAGTTTGCAACATAAAAAAAACAACTCAGTTGAATAAAAATAAAGACTGTGCCTGAACATTTAATAAATGAGGAAACAAGGGTTTATTTTAATATGAAATCTTAACTAGATAAAAATGCATGAATATTCACATTACCATGCTGTTGGTGTGCAATACAAATGCAAGGAGTTGGCCAAACATTTAGTGCTGGGGAGGCCCTCGGGTTAAATAAGTAATGTTTTCATGCCATTAGCTCCACCACCTCTTACCATCCCATCCAGATCCAGAAAGAGTTACACAGTTGACACCTGAACTTCGAGCTCTGCTCTTACAGCCTAATCCCAATTATGGTGTTTTGCAGACGGCCCCACTAATATTAGGTGGTGCACACATATGTGCCCCCTGTTTACTGTGATAGAAACACCAACAACAATATTAATGTACATCTACATAGAGCATGTGTTGTAAAACGCATCAACGCTATCAGTGAAAATTGACATGAAAGGTACAAGGCCAATGAAGAACCATGCACTTCCAAAGCCAATCATGCAAAATGTCACCAAATGGCCTTCCTAGGTCAAGCATCTTTTTAAAACTTAAAATAAAGTTTTTACTTAGAAGGCCAATGACAATAAACATCTTTACAACTGGAATAATAATGTCTCTCGTGTGTATTCCTGTTAGTGTATGGTGTAATACTGACATACATGTGCCGGTTATACGATATGGACTGGGATAGAATTCGGTGGGTAAAGATTCAAATCCCCGAAAGTTACATTCAGGTGTTCTGATCCCAACTATGGTATCGAAGGCACAACAGTGTCCCTTCCGAATAGGCAGAATGAGTAACACCTGGATAAGGCATCACAAGTGTATGTCGTGTTAAAGGAGTGACTGACCCTCATCATAAAAGTGTGGAACTTACACCACCAGCTCAGAATCAAGAAATGGAATGACCACCACACAGCTATGCACTCCAGTCAATAAGCTATTCATAACCACACACATTAACAACACGCTTATGCACATCTACGGCAAGAAATTAGAAACTACTGTATACTCAACCACACACAGATGGAGACCAAAATGCTAATTGGTGGTGACCTTACCATGGTGCTTGTGCCAGGCTAGGTGCATTTTGAGGTAACACGAATTTGGCAAATTAACGGACTGTTAAAACAAGTGTTGTCAGCTAGTACCTACGAAGGCTGGGACGGTACACGAGGGCGTGGGTGGTCAACACCACGCTCGGCCGCCTTTGTCTCCCAAGTGCTGATGTTTACACACCGCACCAGGTACTCATTTAAGGCTGAGTCTACCTAGGAGAGGCCCAGGGTCCGGTTCAAATATTTAACACTGATATTGGGGGTGAGCGGATTTTGTAGCAGTGCGCTCACCAGTGCGCCAGTTCTCCACGATCCGTACACAAAGACAAAAGCCCCCCCGTATAGCCTTACCATAATGTTGGGGCAAGTGCTGTTAGCGAGCACCTATGAAGGCCGTAACGACACACGAGGGGGTGGGTGGCCAGCAACCACGTCCAGCCGCCTTTGTCTCCAAATCGAGGCTGAGTCGACCTCAGGGAGGCCCAGGACCGGTTCAGATAATCGTCACCACTGGTGTTGGTGGCCGTAGCGCAGTGCGCTAACCGCTACTACACCACCAATCGACACCACCATCACCACCACCACGAAAACTACCGCCCCCCATATCCCAGTAATGACACACACGAAGACAACGACACAGACACACCCCTCACCTTCACTCCGTTTCGCAGCACAGCCCAACGCCAGCACCAAGAGACACGTCAGCGCTGCCTCCCGCATATCCATGTCGAACCCAGATCCTCAGACTCTAGGGCGCACGCACACACACACATACACTGAAAGAAATACACTACTATACACATCACAGAAATGCGTAAGTACACATACAACCCAAAAACAAAGACACACTGATATGCATACACGAATACATCGGCACAAATGAAAAAGCACATACATACTGACACACACGCTAACACAATGGCACAACGACATACCAACACAGACACTGTTAACGCAGCAGCTATTCGCCACCAAGTGATGGTGATTTCACCTCACTGCTGCTGGTGCCCAGGCGAAGTTGGCCCCCTTCGAGACGAAGATCCTCCATGCAGTCTTAACAGACTGTTGCGGTAAGTGTTGTTAGCGAGCACCTATGAAGGCTGCTTCGGCATACGACGGGGTGGTGTGGCCAAGACTACGCCCGGCCGCCTTTGTCTCTCCAATGCCAGGTACTCATTTAAGGCTGAGTCGACCTAAGGGAGGCCTAGGAGCGTGAGCAAAAAAATAAACTCGGGTCGCCGGGTTCGTAGCGCAGCGCACTAACCACTACATAACCGCTGCTCACTCAATGCCACTGACATGCACACTCACACAAAGATTACCGTATAGCCGTACAGACTGTTGGGGAATGGTGCGGTTAGCGAGCACATATTATGGTCAGCACACGACCACACAAGCGCACACCCTGATACTCGCACTTCCCGCTTCTCTGAACCTCACCTCCAAACTCGCACCGGTCTAGAAACCGCAGTCCAGCAAAGCTCAGCTCGTTATGAAGACTCGTACGTCCACTGACACGGGCACAACAGGCAGCAAGACCAGCTAATGGCGCCTGATGGAACTGGGGCTTAGAAACTCAACTGCGAGGGAGATCAAGTCCACGCGAACATGACAGCGAATGCCGCCGCTACCAGAGAAACCCAAGAACCCTAACCACGCCCCCTCTCTACCAGAGAAATTCAAGAACCATAACCACGCCCCTTCTCTACCACAGAAACCCAAGAACCCTAACCACGCCCCCTCTCTACCAGAGAAACTCAAGAACCCTAACCACGCCCCCTCTCTACCAGAGAAACTCAAGAACACTAACCACGCCCCCCTCTCTTCTATAGAAACCCAAGAACCATAACCACGCCCCCCTCTACCAGAGAAACCCAAGAACCATAACCACGCCCCCTTCTCTACCAGAGAAACTCAAGAACCATAACCACGCCCCCCTCTCTTCTAGAGAAACCCAAGAACCCTAACCACGCCCCCCTCTCTACCAGAGAAACCCAATAACCCTAACCACGCCCCCTCTCTACCAGAGAAACTCAAGAACCATAACCACGCCCCCTCTACCAGAGAAACTCAAGAACCATAACCACGCCCCCTCTCTTCTAGAGAAACCCAAGAACCATAACCACGCCTCCCTCTACTAGATAAACCCAAAAACCCTAACCACGCCCCCCTCTCTTCCACAGAAACCCAAGAACCATAACCACGCCCCCTCTCTTCGAGAGAAACCCAAGAACCATAACCACGCCCCCCTCTCTACCAGAGAAATCCAAGAACCTTAACCCCGCCCCCCCTCTACTAGAGAAACCCAAGAAGCATAACCACGCCCCCCTTTACCAGAGAAATCCAAGAACTCTAACCACGCCCCCCTCTCTTCTAGAGAAACCCAAGAACCATAACCACGCCTCCCTCTACCAGAGAAATCCAAGAACCCTAACCACGCCTCCCTCTCTACCAGAGAAATACAATAACCATAACCACGCCCCCCTATCTACCAGAGAAACCCAAGAACCATAACCACGCCCCCATCCCTCTACCAGAGGAGCCCAATAACCCGAACCAACCCACACAAAGCTTGAGGTGGCACGCTGCTTTTGGTGACGTGTTTCGTGCTTTGTAGAGTCGGAAACGCGTTTATCTCAAGACGCTGTCACGCTAAGGCAATGAGCGTCATGAGGAAGTGGGAGGCACTGTGATTGGTTAAGGGGGGGATTTTTAGTCCCTTCGTGTGCCACAAGCTAACAATAAAATTCAGACTCTTTGATTCTTTCGGTAAAGTCACGTAGGTAGAAATCAAATAAAACACGTTTAGATCGCAACACAATCTTCATCAGGTGTTTTATTTTAGTTCTACCTACGTGACTTTACCGAAAGAACCAAAGAGTATGGATTTCTGCAGTCACGAAAGCTTCAAATCAAGAATAAAATTCAGGGTTGACATCCACCTCTCATTGTTCCGGTTGTTAAAGATTGTCTTGCACCAACTATTAAAACCCCGTTACACAACGCTCACCGATTGTGAATTGAGGCTCAAGAGAGACAAGTTACACAACTCTGGGAGTGGAATAGCGAAGTTCTATAAGGATTATGAAAAAAGCACATCGTGGAAATGTCTCCACGTTGCCCGTGCTGCGGCTGTGCCCACTCACAACACTGTACCTGCATGTAGCCGTGTTTCACGTGTCCTTACAAACTCATGAGCTTTATTTTCACATCAGCTTAAATATACAATGTTACAGTATATCTTTCAAATGCATGCATATTGTATTACGTTGTGGCCCAGAGGTTATTTTGTAAAATATCATTTTGGTTTCAATTCGCCCTCACTTGGATTAAATGGTGTATAAGGAATGTTTATGTAAAACTAACATACTTTTGCTATGCTGAGATGAAAGTTCACAAATGATTCAGGCACCACTTACGTTTGCAGCAGTGAACACTATACAATGTGAAAAAAAACAATGCGATTAAACCGGAGTTCCTCTACCCACCGCCCACACAAACGCGCCATTATCACAAATATCTACAACCTCTACTAATATCTCGGTGTCAACAAACGTTTCCTCCAAAAAGCCGTGTAGCACGTGCAACATCGGTAGGTGTGTCTGGACCTCGTCTAATGTTTTACGAGCGCTTGCTTGCCGCAACCCTTATTCCACAACCTCCAGGCTGTGTTCCAAGATGGTATTCATGCCCTGGAACCGGAAGAAGCCGCAGAACTTCTGTTTCTTGAGCAACATCGGAAACCAGAGGTGGTCATCGGGCCACATCTCCGAGAAGGGAACCTTGTCCAGGTCAAACCACTGAGGGCGCATTTCTGATGGAAGAAATTGGGGGTGGGGTGCAGTACAAGTATCACACAGGGAAGCAGCTGCAAGGTGTTCACTCATAACAGGTGCTGGAGTCGCTGTGTTGTGGCGAGTGATATTATTTCGGCGAGTGATATTATTGCGTTCAAGTGATGCAAGTGGAACATCAAGAGGAAGGCAGAAAATGAGGTGGGGCGATGCGATCGGACGTGAGATGGGGCAAGACAAGGCAGTGTGGAGAGGGTTGGCAAGGACAGCGGACCCCACATGAGTGGGACAAACGTGTAGAAGAAGATGTTACTTTGTTCCCAGTGACTCACCATCTGACTCGCTGGGCTCCCCGGTGAAGGCGTCAGCCCGGAACACGTGCACCTCCATCACCTCAGGTTCCCCAACGAATTCGAACGTCAGCGTGCCGGCCTCAATGAGCTCCTGAGCCGTGATGGAGCACTCCTCCCAGAGCTCCCTGCAAAACACAAACCTCCTCACACACCTCGTCCAACAGCTCCTCACTCACCTCTTCACATAGCTCCTCACGCCACCTGATGCAACTCACCCCCACTCTCCTCATTCTCCACCCTCTTCACCACCCTCTTCACCACACACGCCAACCCTCACACGCATCGTCACTTGGCACAGATCCACCTCATACCCTTCATACATTCTGCAAGTCATTAGACACCTCAAAACAACGCACACCTCACACGCGCTCCTACATTTATATATTTCTGCAATTTTAACGTACAGTACTATAGTATTTATTTAACAATAAATAACTAATTACATACTTTAACATGACTGTTAAATTACAAATGACTGTCACCCCCCTGCCCGCACATGTGTTTGAGTGACAAATATAAACTTTGCTTATTGACCTCACGTCTCACCAGTTAGGTACATGCATTAGGGTTAGGGCCATGCACTAATGTTTTCGTGCAAGGTGTTTACGTTAGGGCTGTGCGTTTCGAGTCAAGCGCCCCCACCAACTTGACTATAATCTGGAGACAACGTTTCGCGTTGGGAATTATACAACTATGCGTTCGAGCTGTGTGATGGCAAGTGCCAGTGGTTATGCTTGGCACAGGTCACATCTGCCCAAACAATCCCTGCGCCAACCCACCAATATCCGACCCCCCTATCTCCCTCATCCTTTTTCCCTTTTACACAGATCTCCCACCCACCCCCCACCACGACCACCACCTTGCTACTCCAGCCCGACCGCCCGTACCGCTTGGCCGCCTCCCGCACGCTCTCTCCCGCCTGCACTTTCCCCCCGAACCCGTTCCAGCGCCCAGCGCCGAATCCGCGCTTCTTCATCCCGAGCAGCACCCGCGGAGGACTCAACACCAGCACGAGCGTGAAGAGGCGGCGCGACATCGCAAGGGCACCCCAAAAACCCGGACCCGTGGGGGGGGACGACGACCCCGCACCGTCTCAGGATCCCTCACACCACACCACCCACGTGGCGCCAAGCGAAATGAATGAACTCGCGTGACTTGCACAGCGACACTTCCGGAGAGGCGTGTCGCGTGCGCCAGCCACGAGGCCATGGCCCCCGGCTTCCCCGTGGGTCTCCCGCGCCGCGTCGACTCGCTGTGCAGGGCGCACCGGGCCCTGCGCGCCCCCTCGCCGCGCCGGGCCCTGCACGCCCCGAGCCCGGCCCCCCGCGCGCGTTCGGGGGCCGCGCAGATCTGGCTGCAGAGGCAGCGGCGCGACCCGTTCGTGCAGCGCGCCCAGGAGCTGGGGCTGCGATGCCGCAGCGGATTCAAGCTGGCGCACATGGACGAACAGCTGCGCTGGCTGCGGCCCGGCCGAGCCGTGCTCGACTTGGGGGCGGCGCCGGGCGCCTGGAGCCAGGAGGCGGCGCGCAGGGTGAACGCGACCGGGGCCCTGCCCGGTGCCCCGCGCGGCTTCGTGCTGGGCCTGGACCTGCTGCCCGTAGAGCCCCTCGACGGAGTCTCCTTCCTGGGCGGCACCGACGTGCGCGCCGCAGACACCGAGACGAAGGTTCGCGCCCTGCTCCCGGGCGGCGCGGCGCACCTGGTGCTGAGCGACATGGCGCCCCGGGCGAGCGGGGTGCGCACCCTGGACCACGAGCAGAGCCTGGCGCTGTGCGGGGCCGCCCTGGCGCTCGCCCTCGTCATCCTGCGGCCCGGGGGCCACTTCCTCTGCAAATTCTGGGACGGCGCGAGCAGCGAGGAGCTCCGCGCCCGGCTCCGGGCCGCCTTCCGCGACGTGCGCGCCCTCAAGCCGCCCGCGAGCCGCCGCGACTCGGCCGAGCTGTACCTGGCGGCGAGCGGCCTGAGGGCGCCGCGCCGCCCGTGACCTCGGCGGCCCACTTGGGACCCGCGCCAATCCACGCGCGCTCTGCGAGGGCCTCACCGCGACCTGTTGGTCCGTGGGGGAGGTTGTTGCAGCTCGCTTTTGACAGGGATGTCATTGACGTTTGTGGTTAAGTTGTGGCGCATACGAAACGATGGTGGGTTTTGACGCGCTGCGGACAAGTGTGCCGTCCCATTGCTCGCGGTCAAACGCTGCAGATGGCCTCTATTTAACAACGCGCCCTCATAAAAGGTAGTAGTGAGTGCAATGGCATAAAATACCGTGCAATTTTTCGTCCTGTGGCTAAATAAATGTTTTATTTGTCTCATGTGGGTGTATATGTGCTTAATTTCCTTAAGCAACAGTCGTGTTTAAAACACATTTTCTTCCGTTTACGTTAAACGGTATCAAGCAACAATGTCACTTGAACGCGTTCTCAATAAAATCGTGACAAGCGTTCTCAAATTCCGAACAGGTACAGAAGCAGCAGCGGTAACTCAACCCGCCAAGAGTTAACACGTGAGCAATCGCCCCGTCTTGAAGTAACACGTGAGCAATCGCCCCGTCTTGAAGTAACACGTGAACAATCGCCACCCCCATGAAGTAACACGTGGACCCCCCCCCACTCCCCATCAATACGTGAACAACTCATTCCCACGATGAACACGTTGACTCCAACCCCCCATGAATGAACACGTGAACACCCATCACCGTTCATGTGCATCTGCCACCCCCCCCACACCAAGATATGATCCTTCTGGCGGTACTCCGGGGTACCAAATAATACAGAATGGCCGAGGCAATTACATATTTTATTTCTGTGACACTTTTTGTCCAGGGGTGTACTTCACTCCACGACTGGGTCACCAAATCAATCCGACATCGCTGCCGATTGCGCTGAAACCCTGAACGCTCACACGCGCACCACAGTGGTGCATCGTGAGTACAGCTCGCCGAGTCGATCGCCGCATCGCCATCAAGAGACTAAAAAAGACTGGCATCACGGGCATCGTGCGAGAGCCGGGGTACCGCCATAAGGTTCGTGTGGGCCCCTCTCCACTCCCTTCCCGCTCTCTTGCTGTTGATGAGAAATCAGCGACACAGCGCCGCCAAGCGGGACCCCGGCGCCAAGCGGGACCCCGCCGCCGGCTTCTTGTGACCCCCCCCCTTGCGCCCCCCCCCCTTACGACCCCCCCCCAACCCTCGCGTCTCTCACCCCCCCCCTCTCTCTCTCGGCTATAAACTTTCCACTCATCCGTCGGGGCCATGACTCCGATTGACTCTCCGCTTCTCGGCTGCCCTTGCTGCGTAGATTCATGGAGGCAGTAGAGGTGAGGACCGTGGCGGCGGCGGGAGGAGGAGGGGGGTGGTGCTGGTGGTGGTGAGGCCCGAGGGTGTTTGGGCGAGGGCCGAGGGAGGTGAGGAGGAGGAGGGTGAGGCCGGGGAGGTGAGGAGAGGGTGAATCCTCGGATAATATCTGGCGATGGTCGTAGAAAGTGAAGGCGAGGTGACGGTGGGGACGGGGTGGGGACGGGGTGGGAGGCCGTAAGCACGCGGACCTTCCTAGGCCCAGTGCAGGCAGAGGCTATCCCCTTGCCCGGGAGAGAGCGAGGGGGTTAGAGCCGATGGCAGCTGTGGGAGACCGCTCGTTACGACGGTGCCCGCAGACCCTCGCCTACTGCCGCTGCCGTCTCGGCCTCTGCTGCCTCCTGCTCGTAGACGCCGGGCTCGGCGCTGCGCGCCCTCCTGTGCGGGGCGCTGAGCGGGTCGTGCTCCACGCTGCTGCTCCAGCCCCTGGACCTGGTGAAGACGCGGGTCCAGCTGCTGCGCGCCGCCGGTACCCCGCGGTGCGAACAACAACAACAGCAGCAGCAACAACAACAACAGCGGTCATCTGGGACCCCGTCAAAACCATTTACCCCTAAAGCCGTGAACCTCGCCGATGTCGTGCACCGTCAGGGCCGGTGACGCAACTTGTGCTCACCCGCGACATTATCGATTACGGTCGGCAGCCACATGAGGCGGACGACTTAACAATTAACAAGAGATAGGCAGACAATGTGCACGTAGAATACAAATAAAAAAACAGTTCTTACAGAAGCCGTCGGCCCAGCGGACTGCATAATAATTTCAGCAACATTGCTTCAGTACAAACCAAACTGGTTTTTACTGAAACACGTTGTCTCATCAACGTCTAATCGTCAGTGAATGCATCTCACCCACACTAATCGGGTACTAGAGGGGAATATCTTCGACACGACGACACTTTATAACTACAGGATTAGCGCGCTCCGTCACTTCTGCCATTGCAAGGGCATCTTGGAGTAACGGGGCTGAAAGTGTGGATGTTAATGTGTAGTCCGCTAAAGTTATTGGGCAGTCCTATTTTGCCCTCTATCAGGAAATTCTCTCCGACTCCTGCCGTCAGCCTAATGCCCTGAATATCCCTAAACTAGTCTACCTTCACTTTTCTACCCCCTAAACGTATACTTTTATGCTAATTTAACCTTAGCCCCAACTAGCCATACATACACTAATTATAAAAAACGAGTTTATGCCTAAACTCTTCCACCCAACGGGTCTCGAAGGCCAGGTCCACACCTGAGTGATCAATTGCGCAGCCAACTGCTTTGACCAAATTTGAGGAAGTAGTTGTTGCAAAGCAAGGTTTCCGTGTTGAGACGTGTGTCAAACATTTTCTGGCATTTGGAGTGACCGACTCTTTTGGTGCTGTCAGTTTCGTTAAATTATGGCTTCATTTATTACCGATGGTATTGAAATGCCTGCTGAATGCATTCTATTGGTCAACATTGTTACGAATTTACTGCCTCTAAAAACATAAACAAGATGTTCAAGAATCTCACAACCAATCATTGTTCGCAAATGTGCACGTGGTGAAATAATCACTCACTTTGCTGATCCGTGTCGCTTAATAGTCGACTAAGTTTAAGACAACACAGCAATGTACAAAATGCACTCGGCCATATGCATTGTGCAAAAAAAACTGCATCGTGGTCCTATTGTCACGGTGACCATCAATAAAGTTGAGCAAGTGAGACCAACTGACAAGTGAGACCAACTGACAAGTGAGACCAACTGACAAGTGAGACCAACTGACAAGTGAGACCAACTGACGAGATCAACTGACAAGTGAGACCAACTGACAAGTGAGATCAACTGACAAGTGAGATCAACTGACAAGTGAGACCAACTGACAAGTGAGACCAACTGACAAGTGAGACCAACTGACAAGTGAGACCAACTGACAAGTGAGACCAACTGACAAGTGAGACCAACTGACAAGTGAGACAGACAAAATTTAACCGTATACCAGTTTTTTTTTCTTAGCAGGACTTATAAGTATAATCACCAATGCTCACTGCTGCAAAGCCTACTGTAATAAACCAGTTACGGAACTGCTCACAACTCATTGCAGAGATGCCAACATATAAGCGATTGATTTACATGCAACTCAGGTGTGGACCCAGCTTAAATGTGGCCTATGTCGCCCCTTTCATTGCCAGGTCCCCGAGGGTGCGGATGGTGTCCGTGCTGACCCATGTGGTGCGTACGGAGAGCGTGCGTGGCCTCTGGAAGGGACTTGGCCCTGTGAGTCTGCAGGTCCGCGTGGAGTGGACACAAGTATTTTACAACCGCACGCATGTGTTTAAAGAGGTTACCGTAGCACAGTCATTGTTCTGTTGCTACGATTCTACCTGCGCTACAAATGCCTGTTTCCTTGTCCGTGTCACTTGCAGTCTCTCGTGCGCTGCGTACCTGGCGTTGGCATCTACTTCTGCACCCTGCACTCACTCAGAGAGAGTTTCTTCAGGTAATATTGCCTTAAAAGGAAAAATAATACATCATAGGCGACATTTCGAGCAATGGCCCTTCAGAGCATGTAAAAAATATCTTGACCTCATATATAAAATAAAATATTTGCTATGAAGGGCCATTTCCAGAAAGTTGCTTTTGTTTTTCCTTTTTTGGTAGTGTAATTTCTGAATATCTTTTTTTGTGATTTAGCACTGCTAACACAATGTGACCAAATCAACTCCGAAGGCGAGTGCTGGTCCTATTGGCGACGTGGCTATACATGGGGCCTGAGCTTATATTTGGGCAGCGTTGATACTAAGTGAATTGCACTTAATGGACTAAAGGCTCAGATGAGCCAGCGTGATGAGAACAAGCATCGGGGCCGATGGCTCCAAGTAGCTTGCGGTGCCCGATCTCATTAACAGGGGTTTGTTGTTGCTCCGTAGAGATAGTGAGTGACGTCACTGGGTCCTGTGCCGTGGGGATGCAGGGATCGTGCTCCATCCGCCCTAGACTCGCTCCTGCTGGGGCTGTCGGCAAGGACCATATCTGCAGTGTGCATGCTGCCCGTCACCGTTGTGAAAACACGATATGAGGTACAATCACCACTTCGGATAATTTTGCACGCACTAACACCATGAGCTTTTGCTAAATTTTGTGTTTTTCCAAGGCAGAGTGGCCGCTTCAAGTACAGGAGTGTGCTCGGAGCACTGAGCAGCATCCGTAAGACGGAAGGCATCCGCGCCCTCTTTAGCGGCTTGACAGCAACACTCGCTCGCGATGCGCCCTTCTCGGGGATCTACGTCATGATCTACACTCAGGCCAAGCACATGCTGCTACATGGTACAAAGCCTTTTTATCACCAGCATCTCCACACTTGGGGTTCTGTTGGGTTTTAAAATAGATGAGTCCTCACCTTGTGTGACCTCCATTAATGGTTGGAAAATTGCACTGGCCGGTTTGGTTGCATCGGGCTGTGAAGGCAGGGGTTGCAGAGTGGTGCCTTTACCACGCCAACTGTGTAGCCACGATTCCTGCGTAGCCACGATTCCTGCATCTGGTGCCGACTGCATCTTGTGTCCTGCAGGAGTGGAGAGGGAGGGCCAGGCGCCGACGCGGTTTGCGTGCGGGGTGCTGGCTGGAGTGGTAGCATCTCTCGTCACGCAACCAGCCGATACCATCAAAACCTACATGCAAATGGAGCCTCACAGATTTTCCCACACAGGACAAACTTTTGTGGCCATCTGCAGAGTGAGTCCCTTTTTACATGCACCCATAATGCTGAGCTCTACCTACAGGGATGTTTATTTCCTTCAGTGCACTTGGCAGAACCCAGTATTCACAGCCCCTCGGTATTGATAGCCACGGTCTCTGCACTTTACTGCATTACCCAATGGAGACAGAGGCATCATAAGTTGCTGCCATCAAGTGAATACAAAACAAGCCCAGCTCGCTTTCCACATCCTCAACGGGTGTCCTTGGCCACAGGATGTAGCTGGGCTCCATAAGAAC